GTGTGTGTGGGCTGATAGTTGTTTCTTACGAGTACATAAAAATCCTGCTTGATTGCGTCATGTTATATTGTAGTGTACACTTACTCATTGCCAGTGTTGCTGATGCTTAGGCTATGTTGTATTAGGTAATGATGGAAGCGGAGGTGCATTAACCCGTGTCGCTGTTTCCTGGTGTGTTGTGAAGGTATTACTATGTATATCACAATATACCGTGCAGGACATCCGCTGTTTGTCATTTCTTATCTTGTCAGGTTTCTCTGCTTCTTGGTCAGTGTTTTATCAGGAGACAAAATCTAATTGTCTCCTCCTGTTAGTCAGTTTGTTTTCTAAATGCAAATAGCTGTTCCTAACCTTATAGTTATATCGTATGCTTATGTTGAGGCCTTATATACGAGGTCTATCAGTCATCATTGATCATGTCCACGAAGCAGCAGATAAAGTATGCTAAATAATTATTAACCCCACATTCATGATGGCCTGGTCATCTTTAAGCGATGCAAGTACTAAGTCTTTAAGCTGCACATTAAAGCAAAGGTATTTTATACATTTTATTTAATTACCACTTTATAAGAAAGGAAATAAAGACAAAGTGGATCTCTTTACTGGAGTGTGGTTAGGACTGATGGCATCACTGTTTATGCCGAGATGATAATTCTGTGAAGCTGCTGTGAGTGACGACGGCTTGTTGTGAGTTTCTTCCTGACAAATGTTTCCGCCACGGTGGTGTGAGAAAGCAGCCGAGAGCATTGCATTAGGTTGCGTGTGACAGAGAAGTATCAGTTATATTTCTGTGTACATTCACCCCAAAAAAGTCATCAAGTGTGGCTAAGGTGTGTGAAAAATCCTTCAAGCAATATGACTGGTGCGCCCCGACAAATTCGCAGGTTTTAATTGAGAAGGCAGCAGCCGTGATACTCGTTCATAGAGGGGGGAGCAGGTTCAATGATCTTTACAATATTTAAAAAAAAAAAGCTTTTTAACTGCTAGTGGAAATTTTTTTATTTACTTATTTTATTTTTTTACTTTTTTTATTTATTTATTTATTTTTTTTTTTTTTGGGGGGTGGGGGGTGGGGGGGGGATTAGCCCACCCGGGCACAGAACACTGACCCACAGCGGGGCCTGGGAGGGTGGGTGTAATGATAATAATAATTCATAGTAAATCAAATTTATGATACGAAATACAAATTTAAAAATAAAATAATGAAATAATAATGATAATAACACTAATAATAATAATAATAATAATAATAATAATAATAATAATATTATTATTATTATTATTAAAGAACCATAAAGAAATAACAAAAAAAGATCAAGAGTGAGAAACAATATTTGTATGTTGTGTTGTCAAAGTAAGAGAAAAAAAATTGAGACCCTGCAATTGTGTGTAAATGAGGCAGAAAGTCAGATCATCAACCTGGAACAATACATTAGACAACACATTATGCTTCCAATATCTTCCCTGGCGGTAGTACCTCCCTGTTTGGTAGCTGCCTACTACGGCGATCGTGTATTTGCGTGAAATTATTAGTTATAGGACTTAAAATTCGTAAATAAATCCTCACACTTAATAGAATACAAAGAAGTCAGACAGATAGAAACTCAAGCGGACGAATAGTAATCAGACAGATCTTCAAAATGTGCAATTTTGTACCAAAGAAATGATCAAAAACGAGGTGATTCACAATGACACACTGAACACGTCACACACTGAACACGTCACACACTGAACACGTCACACACTGAACACGTCACACACAGTTGGACACAAAGCCACATCCTGAAGCGGAGACAACGTACCCAACCGTAATACACTAATACGGTTAAAAGACGGTAATAATCATGCCTCTACGGTTATAATTATACTCCACAAAATATTTTAATGGTGGGGCTATAATCATGAATAGAAATATTGGACCACATGAAGATTAACCCCCCAGCTTATTTCACCTTAGGATTAATTACCCGAACGCTAACCGAACTCAACCTAAACTTAACCCAACCTAACCTAACCTACACAATGATAGGGTGATAAAAACGCACTGATATGATGATGAAGATTGATACAAGATAACCCGTGATCCTGGGTATTTATGGGAATCAGTGAGGATTCAACACAGTAATCTACTTTCCTGATTCAAACACACACACAAAAGCAAATTCCTTTACTTGGTGTACGTGCAAGGTAAAGTAATTAGGGATTAAACGTGAAGATTTATCCTCAAATTATTCTCTCTACGTCAATTATCTTATGCGTTGGTGGTCGTAGTATATATATATATATATATATATATATATATATATATATATATATATATATATATATATATATATATATATATATATATATATATATATATATATATTTTTTTTTTTTTTTTTTATGCGTTAGGTGCGTTCTTAAGTTTTTTATGCGTTAGACAGATGCGTTCTTATGCCTTCATTTAGGAGGATTATTAATTGAACGGATCTTTGTGAATTAGGAGTGATATTTATGCACAGGTTACACGGGGTAAAGGAAATGTGTATAAACAATTACATTTTTTTACTAAGGGGCGGTGGTGTGTCCCTCCGCCCCGTCGCGCCGTCGCGCCATGGTCGAGTGCAAGGGGCCATAAAGTCTGGAGATTAATGATAGAAATTGTGGATTATCGAACTCGTCTGGGGTCTTGTGATATACTGGGTGCGTGTACTAGGTTAGGTTTATATCCATTGCTGCTGTCTGTGTATTCGAGTTAGCGTGCTGGCGACTCTCTGGCTGAAGAACAGTCGAACCAACGGACGGACCAAGTGATACCTAGGAACGTATTAATGCAGATAGATCAGCATATTGATATACATTTCTCTTACTCTGACACACTTACACACACACACACACACACTTCCACACACACACACATACCCTCGCATTAGTGCTTAAATTGACACACCTGTGATAGACGGGGAATGTGCAGGTGTTAACATTCCTCCTCATTCTCCATTTTCCTCCGTCCCTCTTCTTCTTTTCCCCTCTCTTCCCCCTCTTGTCCATTACCCTTCTCTTTCTTCCCTCGTCCATTTCTTTTCCATCCCTCCTTCCTCTTCTTTCCCATCTCCCTTTCCCCTCTTTCTTCTCTTCTCTCTCTAGTGCAGCAACAAGAGATCAAAACTGCGACAGGGAAGAGGAGTGGTGTGTGTGTGTTGTGGGGGATGGTGGTGTAAGTTTGTGTTGTTGGTGAGCATGAGGTTGTGTGGCTGTATGGGGGTGAAGGCATGTAGTGAAGGGGGTATGAGGTGTGATTAGAGTCGAGGATGTGGAAGAGACAAGTGAATTGAATTAAAAATTTTCTCTCGGGCAGCAGCTAGTTTATTGCGCACTCCCTTGTTCGTCCTGTGAGCGGGGGAGCGTAGTGTTTGTTTCAAGGTAAGGGTGTTTATAACTTAGTGGGTTGGGTAAGAGGTGTGTGAGGGAGGATACTAGTGAGGGTTGTGATTAAAGAGAGTGTGAGAGAGTCTGTGTGTGTTTGTTAGGATCGAGGATGTAAGGCTGGGGGCATGAGTGAGAGTGGCTGGTGAGGGAGGGGGTTGGTTGGTTGTCCTGTTGGCCATGATACCACCCACACCTGTATACGTGCCTTGTCATAAACATTCCACACACACTACCGTTCCCTTCCTTACCCGCTCCTCTGAACGTCTCCATCCTCACACTACCATACACTTCACTACTCAATAATGGTTGTCCCTCGTGTAATGAGGATGGCCGGCCCTAGGGCCACCTAAGTGTGAATTTGTTGAAGGTGTAGAAGCTGTCGCCAACACAACAACCACACCCTAAGTTAACGAGTTACATGACCAGTGTCAAGGAATAGTCCAAGACCGGACAACTCGCCAACTGCACTGGCTAACCATTACCCTGGAACACGATCCGCATATCGATTAACATCCAGGTTCTCAATTACTGCTGGGTAGACAGAGGCAAATGACGTAAAGAAACTTGCCTGTAGTTTTACCCTGCCCGGGATAGAACCCGGGTCCGCTCGCTTGCGAGGTGAGCATGCTAACTATTACTCCACAGGTCGCACGACACTACACTACTCGTTTAATGTGGTCACATTTTCATTAGTCGTGAGATACTTAAGTCACGCATCAATCACCTTTCAATAATTTTAGAATAGTTGTTTGAAATATATTTGAAGATAGACACCTCTTATTTTTACCTGAAGATTAACCACTAACGCTACCTGGGAGGGGATTAGGTTAGCGGTAGGGTGGGTTAATCTTCAGGTGAACCGTCTTTCCCGACTTACTCAACAGACGTATAATTAAGGTATTCATCTTTAATTCATCTATTGTAGTCATTCATCAAGCAATATAATCATCGCTTGACTCCTCCATAGATGTTGTTTGTTGTCTCTCCCAGGCTTAGTCAGTGTCCTTGACGGTGGTGGTGGTAAACGGTATAACATTGTCGCTCCTTCCTATCCAACCTCGCTTATCGTCTATTCGTTTTACGCTACTCTCTTCTTCTTTCTCACAGTCAAGTCAAGTATTTTCGTATTTTCCTTTTGAGTTACAGTGCAGTTGTTTTCTTATCCTTGATTTTAAGCCACTGAATGGAGGTCTTTTTGTGATCAAAGAAATGTGGTACAATGTGGTACGGACACGAGGGAATGACTCATAAGGCGTGAAGGAAACTGTCTTGGCTCACTTTGATAATAATGTGTGTTTTCTCTTATATTATACCAGCTGCCAGTTAGTGATATTTTTAGTGTATTCTTTACCGGATATTGACTCATGGACATTTCTTGGATGATTTTTTTTTTACATTCTATTTGCTTTCTAACTATTTATCCTCTAGGCCATACAGTTAATGCAGTCTTAACATGTGATTTAATAGCTAACACTAATTGCCTTTACTAAACTATCTTGTACTCAACACATCCTGCTATGTTTGACCTCATCACCTTCACCAGACAACACACCACTCGTCATGTAACCGTGTACTGTTTCTATCACCAGAGACGAACGACGCCTTCGTGGTGATAGCGCTGGGCAAGGACAAGTTCCAGACGTCTATCAAGGAGAAGGCCAGCAGCTCGGTGGAGTGGCATGAGGAGTGTGAACTGTGAGTATCTATCTACCTTGAGTTGTGGCATTTTACTGTCTACACTTTTGATAAGAGAAGGTAGGGGGGAAGGGGTAAGCAGGCTGGTGGGGGAGGGCACCGGAGGCAGTGAGGATGGGGGATGTGAAGATGACAAGCATAATGGGTGAGTGAGTGACAACAGAGAGAGAGAGAGAGAGAGAGAGAGAGGATAATTGCCTCGTCTGATAAGTTTATTTTGCGGAGTGATGGCTCTAAAGCGATACTGAAATAGAAGTACAGAAAATAACAAGATATTAAATAAAACGTGAGCAGCTGTAGCCAAGACAGATGTATCACACACACTCAACAACCTCCAGGTGATCAAGAGGCGATGACGGGAGAGAAGACGGTGGCGGGTAATGCGAGAGTAAACAAGACACGTTGAGGAAATTCCACCTCCCTGGTCCGACAGCATTACTCACAAAACGGATATTGCCGCCTCAGATGTCCTCTTGATTAAATTAACCATTAACCATTCGTGCACTACAATTATTTAGGCATAATAGATGTAAACATAATTTTTACATCACATGAATGGTGTTCAGAGTTGGTACCTGTGACTGGATCATACTACGGTAGCTAGGCAAGGAGTTGGCAGACACCATGACGAATCTAGGAAAAGTGCAGGTACCTGTAAGTCCTCACGGCAGGGAAGTAAGGAAGAGCGGTAGATGAGGGGTTGATCTGTCAAGGGCTTCACTTACCTGCTCTGGCTCCAGGGAATGACCAAGGTCAGTACAAAGACCGAGGTTGTGATTTAAGATTTTGTTTGACCTCGCTGAAGGTGTGTGTGTCTTGTGGAGAGTATTAGAAGTTATTTACTTCGATGTGACAGTTTTATTAGCCTGTGTTTAGGTCTCACTTGATTTGAACATTGACATTTTGAGCTGATGTGGAACCTTACACATTCACCTTTTCCTAGTTTCACAACCTTGCATCATCTATTGTACTCCTCTCTCTCTCTCCCCCTCCCCTTCCTGCTTTGTCAGAAATACGGGCATTAATAAGTGACGGTGATGGCCTATTTTACAGTAGAGAATGATAGGTCAGGTAGGTAGTGTGTTGTTGTCATAGCTCTTGTTCTTCTTAAAGGGATGACTGGTGTTATAGGATCAGTTTCGTCAACACAGTCTGGGGTTAAAACACCCAACATTATATTTATTGATTTTTGGACTAAAGTAATAATATCAAATGGCTTAACACTTGAACAAGAGCATTAATTTCAGTGGAGAACACGAGCACTGAAAGAGGATTAAGACTCACAGTGTTGAAAATAAATCATGTGTTTTGGTTGCAATAAATGGCGACGTGAGAGGCCTTCCAGTAACCCACCGTGAGATGTCGCGCGCCCCGAGGGGAAAAAAAAGTTTGGTGGGTGTGATCACGTGACCAATGATAACCTTGCGAGAGGCTTCCACGTACTCGGGCAACACCGCCACCTTTTCTCTCGTGCGGTTCTACATAATGTCTCGAGTCCCGAGAAGGTCGCTAGGTTCCATGTAAAATATACACGTAGAAAGGACATTGGAATGTGAACCTTCTGATAGATTACCGTGTTATTTCAGGTAAGACTTAAATCACGGATACTGCTATGATCTTTCAGGTATTTAGTGCTCTAAAGAATGGAAGCAAGTTTACAAATGTGTTGCAGTCACAGATGGTAGAGTTTTGTGCTGTTAGTATAAGAGATGTAATCAAACTCATTTGTTATTTACACACCTGCCTATGTAAAGTGTAACGCTAACAATTAATGGTAATGCACAACGCCCTCAAAGGTGTTTATTTGTCTCGTGGTTATAAGGCGTAATGGCAAACACTTCACCAGTTGTGGATCACCTTTAGTTTATTTGTTAACTGGTTGGTAAGTCTTGGCTCGGTTTTCTGTGAATATTATATCCGAATGTCCACGACAAAAAAAATGTACTGTGTTGAAAGTGATGTGTGTGTGTGTCGTGCTGAGTGAGAAGTTATGCAAGTGGTTATAAGCGTTGGTCGCCAGATGAGAACAGTGGCAACATGCTTGGCTTAACACACACACACTAAAGAATACCAATGCATCTCTTTCCTTCTCATCTGCAGTCACACTTATCCTCCTCGAGTTTGGCATCATTAAATCCAGTGTGCAGATGCAAGTCGTTAGGCACGTACAGGTTAACGTTCCTGGTCTCATTATCCCCCCACGGCTATCGGCAGGGGACAGTGTTTGTTTATTCCGACCGTCCTGTTATTTTCGCAAACATTTCCCCGTTTTTTTTCTATTTACGAGAGAAAAATTCAGTCTTTGTATTGTAATTGCTGTGATGGTTTTTTTTTATCATTAATGTTACTTTATATTATAGTACAGTTACATGGTGGTGAATGAGTACCGTCAGGATGAGGTGATTGTGACGCTACCGGTGTCATTGGCCTCTCCCCGCACCGTGAACACCAAACACGCTACCTACCACTCATCGCAGTTTTTTTTTTATTAGACTGTGAAACCCAATTTTGAAGATGTCCACATTAGGTCACATCAAGTTTTAATTAGATTTTTTTTAGTTTAATTGATGCTAATTCACGCCCTTTGAATAAATACCATATGTTTTTAGATCATTACTGAATTCAAATTTAACCTGTGACGTATAAAGGCTTGGCGGGGTGCTGGGGGGAGGGGGTGCAAAATGGCGGCTGAGGATTGGGGAAAAAAACTAATTGACAATTATATGTTTGAATTTTCCGGTCAATTGTGCGCTGGAAGTGACAATACTAGTCATCTCTGGTGTTGTGACCGCTGGGTAGACACGGTGGTTGGTTTTTATGTTAAACGGCTTTTTTTTTCGCTGTCGTCCTGCTCGCCGTTAACCACTAGTTACGTCAGCCCGGGATACAGACTATCCAAACGGTGTAAATAATAACGGTAACACTAAGTTTAGACCCTGGCGTTAAACGGTGTAAAAGGTGACACCTTTTGAGAACTTGGGAGAGGTTTTACTGTCATGAGGTAGCTGGTGGTGTTCCCTTGCTCGGGTGCACACTCTCACAACGTCATTTAGCGACACCGGAGCAACTTGTGACCTGTTACACCTCATCTACTGTACTCTCTCCACTGTGAAAAACTTTTTTTTTATTAAATCAGTTAACGAATACCTGTCTAACTTCTGGTGCTTTCTCTGCCGCAGACAATATCTTAAAGCCAATGAGGGTGGTTTATGATTTTGTATGTTTTAGCGTACGTAGCTATTTGTTGTATATATGTGTGTGTCATATACAGCAAACTCGTGCAGTCGTTTGTGGATAACTTTATCTTTTCAATATTTTAATTTGTTAGTTCCTCACCGAATAGGTATTAGGGTGGGGGAATATAGCAGTCATGCTGTGCGTCCTAAATACAACTGTATCCAAATAAGAACTTCAACATAAGCATTTGAATAAAATTTCACACACGGAGCCTTTATATTATATAGTTAAAGAAGGAAGAATGTTGATTTTGGTAAGTCATCGGGTCACGGAGGTCTGGCAAACAAGCGTATTTTTGTGGATATCATCAGTTTGAAATTGTCTCCGTGGGCGTCTAAAAAAAAAACCAGTTGATCCATCTTGCCGGCTCCACCTAACCGGGTCTTACAAACGCTCATCAATTATCAGAACTAAATATTACCCTTAAGATAATACTGTCTCTAACGTGTATTTTGTAGCGGTGGTGGGTTTGTTTACATGTTGACGTCATTGTTGGTATAAAGGTCACTTGTTGCCTTTCATCTATCAGCTCTCACGTGTGCATATTAAGATTCACAGCAGTATCATCACCGCGTATAGCGACTTTTACATTCCACCTGTATTATTACTACTCATAATGACTTTATCTATAGTTTTCTCTATCTTCACTCATAATGACGCAGAATGACTCACATATGCTGATAATGACGCTAAATGACTCGGTTACTCACAATGAACGCCAAATAGCTCACAGGTGTTCATAACAACACAAGACACTCATAATGATTAGAATTTGCTGTGTAGGTGTCATAAAAACAGATACGGTTTAAATTTCCGGTTATACTTGTTGATGTTATTGACATTGTTGGCAGCCAGCTCGTGTGTTTTACAACCTCAAGCCTTGATATTAAGTGTTAACAACCAGAAGAAGGGATATTAAAACAGGCTCAGTAGATTAAAGTATAAAGTAGTGAAAGGGTAAGAACATGATGTAAAAAATATGCTAGGATAAACCAGTGTACAGTAGGATGCGTGAGTGGTGGTCACGAGGGTGTGGTGGAGTGTGACTGACTAGCGACAGTAGAGGTGTTGATGGTGGAGATGATGACGAAGATGTTACTGATAAAGAAGTGGTTCGTGGTCATTGACTGTGTTAGGAATAATATATATATATAAAAAGGGGGTAAATCCAAACGCAGACATTATTATTGTTGTTTGTATGTGCGTGTTCGTGTATGTTCCTATGTATGTTTTGTCTGCGTGTGTGCTTGTGTGCGTGCGTATTTACATGTTTGTCGGTATCATATATTTACGTGTTAGTATTTATTTCCACTGATATATTATACAATGTTCTTCCTTCTCCTTCGAGTTTAAATTCAGTAGATCGAGGGTGACCAAATTGCAGCTTAGGTTAGCGAGTGCAAGGGGTGGCGGGGGTCGGGTGGATGTTCGGGTGGCGGGGGGGGGACAGGAGGTGGAGAGTCGGATGGGTCTTTGACTGAGGGGGTAAGGGGTGGAGAAGGTTGGGGGGTCGGGTGGTGGTTGAGAAGGTGCTGGAAGTGGGCAGGGAGAGGGAGTGGGTGGAGGAGGGTGAGTCACGTCATGGCGGGTGGAAGGAAGGGAGGTATTTATGGAGGGTCAGGCAGGTGGGGGCTGGTATTTAAGGGTGGGGTACAGTCACGGTACGTCATATCTGCTATTTATTCTTCTGTCAGGCAACACCCACGCCATTGCAAATTTCCCTTATCTCTGCTGCAACTTTTGTTCTATTTCACATACCATTGAAAATCGTATGTAAACACAGGTAGATAAACATTACCAGAGAGACACACATCCATGTATCAAAACGGTCGTTGGTTCATAGGAAAACATAAGAATTATTTATATACAGTATGTCACTGTCAGCGTCACAAGCAACAAACAAAAATCCAAATCCTGTTATAACGTCACAACCCGGATAGCTGCTATTAGTGACGTCATGAGCCGGATCCCTGTTGATATGCTTTCTAAGGGTCATCATTATTTAGGTTATTGTTATATATTCACTTTCCCTGTTAATGAGTGTTTGTAAGAGTTAATTACCTCTATTATCTGAGTTCATACAGCGAGGCAGTTCTTAACACCAAAATTGGTTAATTATGGTTACAAACTGAGTGTATTGGAGTATGGTGTACTGTTAACCTTGATGATAACGCAAAAATGCACATAGAATATAAATTAAGAAAAATTATAACAAAATGCTCAGTATTGTTGGGTAGAAGTACTTAGGGTTACCACTTAAGTTATGGTATGTTCCCTGTATATTTGTAGCCTATCCTCACTGCAAGTCTTCAACCATTACTCTAATTCAGTGGTTCTTAAACTAGGGGGCGCGACGAGCGGTCAAAGAGAAAAGTCTGGTCAGGAACTGAATGCTTCTTGTACACGATTGCTCATCCCTCCCACTCTATAATAACCAAGGGTCGCATCGGGGGGGGGGGCAAAAAGTTTAGGAATCACTGCTTTAATTTAACAAGATCCAGTTACCGAAAATGGCAATACACTACTGTAACTATGATCATCTGTGGTAACAGTACTGCCATTATTCCTAGTAAGTCCCTCTCGGCTACACTCACACCAACGTGGGTAAATTATACAAAAATAGTCTTCTGAGTTCATGGGAAATACTCGAGCGGAAAACCACATTTATGACGGACGAACAGATGGACTAGAGTATCATAGCCATAAATATATCTTTTGTATTATTTTGTTGATGAAAAACAAAAATAACCCCAAGTAGAAAGCAAATCGATGGGCATGAAAATAGTCACACAATATTACACCTGAAGAGTTAGACGTGTAGAGACCCCAAGAATCTAATTAACATTGTGTACAGTATATACTCACTACCGACCCGTTCAAGCGTCATCCATATAAATTAACCCTTACCTAACAAGATTTAATCGCTAGAATCATGAAAATGGGGGTTTACTCTGTTGTATCTATAATATACTGTACACGATGAAGCTTGTATACTGTCCTTATCAACCAAGCTCACCTTTTTCCTTATCTCGTTGAGGACAAATTGACATTGGTTCTTATCTTGTACAGTATCTGACGTCACTTAACGTGCTGTGTTGCTGCCATTCCAGTATAACAACTACAATAACTACTACGCTTATATGTTGAAACGACTTCTTTTAAGCTGTCAATATTTGCCCGTTAATAGAATTTTACTCAGTTGGCCGATTTCTTATCCAGTAATGAGTTCTTAGAATTGAGAGCTAAGAGTTTGTTGGTTTATATAAAGGGAGTATTTTCGTCAGCCTCCGTAATACATAAGGTGAGCATGTGGTATATGGTGCGTATTTTCTCGGTGAGTCAAGTTTGATAAAAGCTGTTACGCAAGAAACTGAATTGCTCCTCAACTGAGATGTCCTCACAGTAAATAACAGTGAATTTTAGTGTTTATATATATGTATATATATATTATATATATATATATATATATATATATATATATATATATATATAAATATATATATATATATATATATAGCAGAGTATGAGAGTTTAACTTCGGTTTTATCCAATTCCTCGAAACTGAGTCATCCGTCAGCGCTACATATAACAGGAAGGCTCTGCTTATACAGTATTTTATCTAGTATGTAAAATGTTTACCGCATTTTCTAATTCATGATGTAATGCAAATGAAGGTAATTTATATAGTGAATGCAAATTGTAATCCAATTTATATGCGAATTGTACAGGTAAACTAATGTTTATTTTATAATAGTATGGAAATAAGGTGAACCAGGTCATTAAATATTTACATTATCAATACAAAACTCAAAGCTTAGTTAAAACAAAGGCAAAACGTTAGCCAGATATTTGCTGCTGACAACAAACAAACATTGGTTGTCTATGAGTAGTGAGGGAAGGAGAGAAAGTTGAGTGGCTGACCCTGACAACTGCAGCTGATGAGGACAGTTAGGGTGAACTAGATCGTGTGCCCAGTAAATCACTCCTACAAGCAAGTACACCGGACATAAACAGGTTTAGTATGATAACGGGGCTTTATGCTGGTCGCAGTCTGGACTCCGATATTCAGAGATTCTTACTGGTTGTGTACGTTGATTTATTATTATTATTTTTTTTTTTGAGGGGGGTTGTTATTTTATTACTGCGCTTCAACAACCACGATCTTTAAGCGCGTAACAATGTTAGTAACTCCACATTTACACAAAAAAAGATAAAACTCTAGAGTAGGGATAGAACACGTTAGCTGGCGCACTTTAGCGACAGCACAAAAATGGCTATCACACATCATCGATTTTGCACGAACATTACTGTTTTCTCATCTCCAGTTACCTGGGGGCGACATCCTTGAGAATTCGAACTGTAGTTGAGATGTTGCTGCAAACGGTGTCCAACCTTCCGTAAGTTATTGTACTGACTGTAGCTCCCTGGACTGGTAAACTGGTGTGCCATGATAACAGTGCGCTAGGCGATGACTGGTGGATATATAGGAATGATACACGCAGGAATGTCAGACGTTTACTCGTCCTAGTAAGATAACGGAGGTTTGGTGGTAATAACAGCCCTGCTGATACACGGAGGCGGGAGATGGTCAAGATGACAAGCTCGCCTGAACCCCGGAATGTGCCTGTGTGAAGGGAAGTTTATATGAAGACTATAATTTTGTGTTCTATGTCGTGTATTTCTTGAAGTTTATTTATTTTTATTATGTGAACAATATTATGAAAAAAATGACAAAGAAATGGTAAAATCATGTCACTACTAAACAAAGAGTATAATCAACGTTGACGATCTGGTGGGTGGTGGTGGTGGTGAGAGTCTGGGGCAAGGTGTAGCGGTACTGTGAGATGAAGAATAGGCGGATGTGGAGAGGGAGGGGTGGCAGAAGGAACACGCGTAGAAATTACGAAGGGGAGGAAATTAGGAAGGGGCAAAGAAGAAGAAGAGTGTGTGTGTGATGGGGGAGGGGGACATGACCTCTACCTGGGAGCTGCTGGTACAGGATCATCACCAGGTCACGCCCTCCACCCCACCTTCCTCTTCATTGTTTGCAAGGCTAGAACTCACAGATCAGTGGAGACGCTGAAACAAAAACAGTGGGACGAAAGGTAGAGAGATATTTAGAGGGAGACGTATTATGCAGGTAATGAAATATTCAACCAAGGAAGACTGTATCTGCGTGTTTGTAGGTGACCTTGTAAGTGGTTGCCGCGTTGCAAAGTTCACATGGCCGACACACACGGAAGGGTTACTACAACTCATGCCGGTCCCACATGCCGAGATTTTACCCTGCTGAAAATGGTTTTGTTATTTGCCTTTGCTTCAACAACAAGGGTCTCCAAGCATAGGTGGGCCTTTTTCTTAACCCCCTCTTGAGTTCGTTTTCAACCCCCCTGAGTACCATGAATTAAACTAATTGATTGAGTTTTCTTAACCCCCTTGAGTACGGCGACTTAATCACTTGAGTATGATGTCTTAATAACGTGAGTACGATATCTTATGCCTTATTACCCCACCAAATGATTCACACACACAAACAAATGGAAATATGCTGTCAGTATACATAATAACCTGAAAATATGCATGTTAAATAATGAAATTTTGACTTTTTGTTTTTTTATTATAATATCTACATGTATATAGTAAGTGTATAAGGAGTAAATTCAGCATGGTAATATAGGCAGGGTACAATCTCAGCACGTACCGCCAGCCAAGGAGAAGACTTCGTTGACGGGTGGCGTGGTAACGTGTACGCCGTGTAACTCAAGTGCGGGGTCACTGGCCTTGAGTGTTGGTGTGGTTTGTGGTTTTGATGTGGTTTTCGTATCTGTATCTTGGTATTATGGTATTATGACGCACGCATGTATAAAGTGAGTGAGGAGTAAGGGGTGAGTGAGGTGTAGTGAGTGAAAAGCGGTAAAATACTGTACTGCACTGTACATTATACTGTGTACTGTGTATACTGTACCTTGATGCTGTACAAGTAACAGGTAGTGGCAGGCATATATTCAGGATCTAACACAAGCAGTGATACCCTCTTGAATATACAGGTACTGTACTTTATACTCAGCATGCGTACATACTGTAAACCTACATTACAGTGCTGTATATTTAAAGTCATGGGTAAAAACGTTCTGAACTTACACTTTCAGACTTCTGCAAGTGGATGTCATCACTTTCAGGGTATATCTTTTTATAGACTATAGAGGAACTGGATTAGGTAATTTCTTTCACTGTAACTGACATGGAATACTCTACAAATACCTGCTGTGTTTAAATCATGTTTTGTGTGTATGTATAATATCACTGACACATGTTCACCTACATGTTGTACTTGTTTATTTTGGAGTAAAAACTAGGGGCTGGGATATAATGTACTGTAGCTCTTTTTTAAGGATCTCTGTACTGTACATGGTTTTATGTTTTTACTGTAGTATGTTAGATCTTTTTGGAAAGATGGACTTAGGGAATTTTGTTCAAAGAACAATGTACAGAATGTGTCGAAACATAGAAATATGAAATAACATACAGTATTGATTTTTTTCCAGAGCAATTCCATCCCATGGGAACACAGCTTCACTTAATCTGACAGTATATCACCGTAATGCTCTTGGCCTTGATGAGTTCTTGGGCCAGGTTCAGCTTCCATTGTCAGAATTTGATGCATACGAGAGACCCAGAAACAGGTGGGTGAGCTGTGCTTGGCATTAGCGTCATGTCAAATGTTAAAATTGTACCATACACATTGTATACAAGTTCAGTATTTCTTATTAATTGAAAAAATCCATTTAGGTGTTAATTCAGGAGTGTAATTATGCATTTACAGTACGTATTTTTTTGTTATTTATTAAACTATTGTTATTAACCATAAACTTTTAAGTGTCTTAATTGACATCATCCATCCCATTTTCATAGGAAATATTGTAAGGGTAATTGAAGGTTGTACAAGTACTATGGTATCACATTATTATACAGTATTGTACTGGATATTAATTTTCTTTTTATTTAAATGTCATTTAATATTTAAACTAATGATTAAACTCTAAAGGACTAGTGTATAGTCAAGGTTCTATATTATGAACGGATTTTTGCCTATTTGCAGATGGCATCGTCTCAAAGGCAAACCAGAGAAGGACCGCAAAAAGGGGGAAAAGGAGAGGGGTGAACTGGAGACCAAGGTAGCGTTCATCGTTAAATCTGGGTCACTCCTTGATGTATCCAAGAAAGAGAAAAATAAATCTATAACATCACTGAAGCATTTAGGTACAGTATTTTTGTTTTTTGTTCAATTGATTTTATGTACAGTACAGTAGTTAGTTTGAAGCAATAAATGAAGGCTTTATTATTATTTAAATAAAATCCATTGTCTTAAAACACTACATTTCATAGACTATCTTCTGGGATTACTGTATACAAGTACAGATATTGTACAATAAATGTGTGGAGTTGATTTGATGAAGAGCATAAGTGAAATCTTTGTGATAGCAGCTTAGCATTATGATTTACTGGCATAAGTCCTTAAGGTGGGTGGTTCTAGCAATACAATACAATGCAGGATCTTTATTAGGAGGTTCCATGTCCTCAGACTCCACCCATTATGTTAGCCAGGGTTGACTTATTAACCCATTTTCGGTAAACCACTCACCAGACTGTTCCCATCACATCCATTATCCTCAGATTAGGTTAGGTTAGGTTAAGTTAGGGAAGTTTAGATGCATCAGTTGTGCTCGAGACAGGAACTTTGTTGTACCATGTGTGACCAATCAACAAACATGTGCCAAAACTGTGGCTCTGATATCTTTTGTTCTGGGCCAATCCTCTATTTTGAATTAAGCTCTTAGCTGATTGCCATTGAGAGTAACATCCTAGATTGGCACTCCCTTGGTCTGTTTATATCTTGCAAAAGTTATGATGCATCAGGCATGGTTGGCATACAGTTATAAGTGTTGTATGTAAGAAAGGCTAGGGCTTGACGTAATTGATTGTGTATTATTTAACTGTAGTGGGTTTTTTTTGCATGCTTCATGAATTGGTTATGGTTGGATAGCAAGTTGGAAATGGGACCTACATTATCTGGTGTCATGCTATAATTTTATGTCTCAGTAACTCTGTCTTATGTTAGTTTTGCTCCTGGTGTGGGGCCTGGCTAAGGCTACTAAGAGGATACTGTACTATGCATTTTGTTTTACAGTGGGCTTCATATTAGTCTGATTCGCATCTCTGAAGGGAGTTTAGGGAAATAATCTCAGCCTTTGTTATTGCTGTAGTTGTACCTCAACATTATGATAGTTCCTGCCAGTACACACAGGCACAGGCATGCACGTGCACACACACACAAATTTACAAAATTGTTTTTCCACTTCATTTAATGTGTGTTTTCATTTTCAGGTGGCAGTTTGATGAGCTTGGGGAATAAAGAAAAAGCTAACTTAAAGAGTTTTGCAAAATCAGTCAGTAAGTATGTAATGTTGTTTCCATATGATGTATAAAGTACTGTACAATATTTAAATAAAGACCAATAGGTCTTTACCCTATATGTTTTCCTATGTGCTATCCTGTCAATACCTTAGTAATGCATAATTCATGTACATTGATGTTATGCTTTGTGGATTGAGGGATATTACTGGAATTCATAATTAATAGGAAATGAAAAACATATTGACAGTTAATTGTGTTTTTTCTTTTCTAAATGTGTGTTTAAATTTTTTTATTTATGGTACTGTGTGTAAGTTCTAACCATTTCATAGTTTCTTGTTACTTTTATCCTGTGCATAATTATCAGTACAATATCACTTTGGGAATTTATACAAAAGAAAAAATCTTTACCCTGTACTGTATACCTGGTACTGTACTCGTTAACTGTTACCTTGTTTACCTACAGTATACAATATAGTACAGTATTATTTTTTCCTTTATCTGCCATATTTAACATACTGTATCCATTGTTTAGAAGACATTGTGACCAAAGTTTTATTCTGTATCGATGTTCAGAATAAACCTCACCATTTTGTTTTGAATAACTTGTACAGTAATTTTGTAAGGATAAGAGATCTGAATCAGCAAGGCACTTGGGGTTATGAACCAAATTTTGTAGTTCCTGATGTACACAGAGAAGCAAACAGTGGGTTAATCTTTACATTTGTAGAGGAACTTGTATGACAGTTTTACTAGACATCTATCTATTTATTTTTCCATCTACCTGGTATTTACTTTTATTTCCAGGCCACAAAATAGACAAGATTGCACATAAACCTGGGAAAAAGAAGAGTCGTAAAGAAAGCCGTGACAGCCAAGGTTTCCCACAAGAACTTATGCAGTCTCGTCAACATGCTGGTGATGCTGATCCTGGTGTAATTTCTGATAGTGATGACGACTTTGGGGTAAGTTGAGCATTTGTGGAATGAACACTTGAATATCATGTGATGTGATTACATGGTAGCATCTTGATGTTAGATTTTCTAATTATCATCTTGCCCAGAAGAGTTGGGTGTGTTGCAGTGGATCATTCATTCATCTCTTCATATCTTAAATGAATGAATATTACTACTTTGGGCAATTGTGCTGGTTGGTAGGAAATGCCATATTAAATAAAGTTGGATAGAGGTCTAAGAATGTGTTGAATAAGGTTTAAGTACATAGTATGGTTGCTTATATTAGGATACACAAAAGTCATGTGTTTTCAAATATTTGCTTTAGGTTAGTTTGAAGTCATAATATAATGGTGTAATTTTTTTTACTGTCTGCATGAAAGTCACTAGTTTTTATGTGCTAAAACTTGTACTGTATAACCTGTTTCATATTTTAACCCTATAAATTTGCCCTTTTATAGTTTTATGTTTTAGTAGCCTCTGCTGTGCTCCTGTTACTGAAACAATGTGCTGAGCCAGTAATTTTGGCAACAGTAACATTGTGCTTGCTTTGACTTCTTGGTATGAACGTTAAAACACATCATACAAGTTTATGCATGTGTCAAAATGAGAGTTCAGTTATGCACGTACAGTACATGAATGGTTGTGATGCCATCGTTCCAAGATTTATGCCATGAAATGATAGTGTATTTCTCCATTGTAAACTTTTTCATGTGTATTGCAACCCCTGCTGGAGCCTTATGATCAACCTTGGTAAAACTGCCACATAACCCATTGACCTGCACCCTCTTGGTGGTGATGATGAACTTATTAACATATTTCAAGAACCAGTAACCATCCTTAATCTGTTTGTGGCCCAGTACTTATATATCGGGTATGCTGTCATAGGTTGAAAATATGTTATCTTGTTTTTGTTTTTGTTTTTTAAATCACGAGAGATAATGTATAAACCAAGATATTTCTACTGTTGATTCCCCCTTTAAGATTATGTATTCCTTGATCCACCCTAGTAGCTAACATGCTTATGTGTCAAACCTGCCTGTAGTTCACCCAATGAGTGCCAGAGGTTTGTTTACTGCTTGTCAGAGTTGAGTGACTTCTTAAGAATATTGTACAGTACTTCATGTAGAGTTAAGGGTCGGGTTGTAATGTATTTTTTATTTTATTTTTACAGTTTGATGAAGAAGTAACTGTCAACACTCGGTCCAGTAGTCCATATAGCACTTTGTCCAGAGGTTCCTCACTTCTGCAGGATGTTCATGGCAAGAGTCACAATTCTCTCTTATTTTGTTTATTGTCCCTGACTTAAGCTGAAATCTACAGTATATATCGTACAGGACTTGTGATTGTTTAGAAAGTGTGTAGCCCTACTCATTTTCAGTATATCTCTTAACATAATGAAATGTTAATACTGTACCTAGCCAGATTTTCAACTCATCCAGGAACAGCTTTCTAGATCTTATGGACATGACCAGTCCATAAGAACTTATCAAAATATCTGTTGCATTCCTTCAACACACTTACATTTGATTCTATGTGTGTGTGTGCATATATTAGCATGCATGTATGTCTGTAAATAAATTATGTATACAATACAAACAGGATAGTTTTTGGAATAGGAAAAATTGCTTTACATTTTAAGTAATTCGAAACTTGATGTCAGGATTCTGCACTTGGCAAGATTTATGCAGTGATGACTTTTTTTTATGGCTGTCACAATTAGTTTTAACCACTTAATAATGATGTAATGAATACCTATACACAGATCAGTTGTTAAGATCCTGTATGTTAGAGTTTCCGGATGTTGGTACCGTAGTTATTTTTTGCCATTAAGGTCCTTCCTTCTGTATTAAGGATATCCCAAAGACAGATGACTGATTGAATTTCACTGTAGGAAGGCATTGAAATAAGTTACTGAAATACACTGCCATCTTGATTGAAAAATATTGCAAATTTTTTTAAATAGGGACCAAGTATTTCATGTTAAACATTTACAGAATGTTGGAAATAATTTAATGCTGGTTTCCTTCACCTCTCCACAGAAGATGATGGTGTACGTGTGAATGGCAACAATCACATCATCTCAGACTCCAGAGCACCGCCAAAGCCAGTTCGTCTTGGAGGTAAGAAATTCCCAATATTTATTATTCCGAAATATTGTGCTTTTTATGTACTGTAACTTAAAATATACAGATATTCTGTATTTAAATTTTGCTTGAGTGTTTGTCATGTATGATTAATAGATAAAACTATTTACTAATATAATTAACTATGGAGTCATTGTTTAAATAACAGCATCACACTTAATCAAACATAAAAATCAGAAAACAAACTGACACTTGTAAAATGTTTATGTATAGTTTGAGCAACACAAGTTTCTCTGGAACAGTATTGTCATTAAAAAATTGATGGTTATATGAGGATGATTTTGAGAGAAGTAGACAAACATATTACCTGATGTATGAAATACTATGATACTGGTACACAGTAGCTCACTTAACTTCAGTTTACAATTTTAGGTGGAAACTTTTTCAAAGTTCTTTTATATATTTTATCAGTTGTATTGTACGGTACTTTGTACATTTTTGCCTTATGAAACACTATATGTCTCTCCCACCTTATGCAGACAGGGACAAAATGATGTTGTGACTAATTTTTGGTACAGTACTGTATTTGAAAAATGGTTATGTATCACTGAGGACGTGTGGGCAGTGTACTGGGATAAGCTAATTGAGTTAGGTTCCATCTTGGGTGCATAGTAGACCTGTCAGCTATTACTTGATTTGGGGCTTAAAGAACAGTCATTGCCAATTTAAATTGCTAGATTAATGTCATCTTAAGTTAGGATGCAAATGCAAACTAGAATTTTTTCCCACTTTTGCAAACCTTTCCTGCATGATGCAGGGTGGCTAAGTATATTGTGTTATTAGATATTTAGTACAGTGAATGTCATTATCACACAGTATTGTTAAAAAAAAAATTAAATTGATTTTTGTGTAAATAATATAATGTCTTGAAGTTGAGTGTGGTAACTGCTTTGCTTTTTCACATTTGCACATTTGTAAAATAATTGTGGTAATCATGCACCTGTTTGCACCTTTTAGATGTAATCTGGTTATTTGAGCACAGTATTAACCTGCAGCATTTGAATAATGAGCATTGGTATTGTGTATGAGTAGAAATTTAGATGTGCATTTGTATATTTGTGGGGCTTTGTAAATTGTCTGTCAACAAGTAACACCCATGGAAAGTTTCATAAGGCTGACCATAATCTGTTTTTGTATGATGAATGCAATCTGCTTATACTGTAGTTTTAAGGGTTGATGTGTGAGAGGTATTGGTGATGGTAACCAAATTTATATCGCTCGGTGTTGTAATATTATAATGACTAATGTTGATATTGGGATACTGTTGCAAAATTCAGTTCATGAAATGTATTATTCCCAATTAGAATACTGTACTATATGAAAGCTTCTTCGTCTTTATACAGTATCCAGAATTTCATATGTATCTGTGATAAGGCCATCCCCATAGGTCCAGTTTTAGTGTAAGTTTAAGCTGAAGTATGCAGAAAAAACTAACAATGCTTGTGACGTTAATGTGTGGCATTACTCGTGTTAGGTTATTGTTTGTCATTTGGCTAATTTATGAATGTCTTCAAATTAGTGAGAAAGCTATGTATTGTGCTGTTTGGTCTGTTTTACCCATGGAAATACTGTACTAACATACCTTCCCTCTTAAACACTGCAGCATCATCTTGTGGTCTGATACATACATTCAAAGCTACAGTGTTTGTTAATGATTCTGTATCTCTGTCCCCTGTTCTACTCCTGTCTTATTGTTTGTTTTCCTTACTTCTGCTCTTCCTGGTATGACATGTTCAAGATACTGTATATCACTTCGTCGTAACACAATTTCATATATTTTAGTGTAAACAGGTAATAGTTGCTTTACATATGAGGTAACAAAACAAACACATGACCAATACATAATAACTGGGTTGAGTATTGTTGGAGTTGTGGTACGTAAGGATATGGGTAAATGAAAGGGAACCCAAATGGGGGTAACACTGGGGCTTAAGTATGAGAGAAAGGATACTGTATCTGTCAGTATTAGATAGATAGATAGATTGATAGTAAAAGAGGAATTTACAACTTTGGCTATCCTTATATGTACTATCTACACACCTCAAGTATCTACAGTCTTTTCCCTGTTATTTTGTGTGGTCTTAAAAAACCCAATATAAGTTTCAGAGAGAGTTACATTACAGTACAGGGTATTTCTTTTATTGTATGTGTGATAAAGAGTAGATACTGTATGTACATAGATTTAACTTTTGTATGGAAATTCTCCCTTATCAAATCCTGTATTGGGTACTGGGTGAGTGAAGCTGGGGCTCAGGTCAACTCACAATGGGTCAATTTGTTAACTTAGTCTGAGGTATGAAATGCTTGCCATCACCACAGCAGTGTGTAATTCTGAATGTAATAATCTGAAGACTGGGATTGGCTCAAAGGCATGATCTGTGGATGGTGTATGTATTAACAAGTGTGCCAAGAGTCGCACGGAAATGACAACGTGAAACAAAAAGGTTCACCACTTGGGTAGGACACATACTGTATGAGTTTTACTACTTTAATTCACATTGTCACCTGATTTGACCCACCCTTATGCCATACAGTTTGAATAATGGAGGTTTTACTGCCCAACTTTGTGCTGCATCTTGCACCTAAATTATTAAATTTAGCTGGTGGATTGTCATATTGAATTTTGGGATAAGTTGGTTGAAGTTCAAGAACATTATCACCTGTCCAAGCAAAATCAGATTTCTGCATCTGTGAACATATTAAGTCCCATATGCAGTTTTCTTGTTTGGGTATACGTTTTATTTAATACAATAATTGTACATACTATTTATATTGTCAGCTTCATATCACCTTTATACTTGCATGAGAAGCAATGGAAGTGTGCCTAGCATGTTGCTTATGGTCCATGTGCATTTTATTTATAATCATCACGACTGTATTTTATTGATATGTTTAAAATTTATTCTGGTGACTTGTACCATTTTAGTAAAAGTTTCAGAGTAATGTTGTTGGAAACTCCTGGTTGGGGTTTTGTTATTAATTTGCAGTGTTGTTGTTTATGTGATTAAGGCACACATACAGAACTAGAAAAAACAGTTATAAGAATGATAATATAAGACCCAGAACTTGATAATTTCTTGTTGAATAAATAGAAAAATAACAAAAGAGCAATGCTTAAAATTGAGATGAATGGGATGTTTATGGTAAAGTGGCAACATGTGTGCCTCTCACCTTTGTGTCCTGGCTTCAGTTCCCAACATAAGTCAGGTGTGAGAAGTGTGTTGTACAGTGTGACCCTATCAAACATTTCAAGATTTTCTGGGTACTCCATTTTACTCCTGTACTAACACTGGACAGTAAAGGTCAACAAAGAACAGACCAACTGCCTGAATAATGAGTAAGCTGATAAACCGAGGAAATGATAAAGTGAAATTGCTGAAATGAATGTTGGCCAAAGAATCCAAGTAGATTGAATAAAAGAAGTATAAGAACAGCCGGAAAACCCTTAACAGAAAATATCAAGAGAAATGAGAAAGGATCTAGAGTGATATGAACTGATGGCATAAGGAAAACAGTATATTCTCCCCAAGAAAAAGAATAATATATACAATACTACACTGCTTAGAAAAGAGGTGATGGATAATCTAAATAAGTAAGATGATAATAATAGCTGTCCAGTAGAATGAAGGCCACCTAGACAAAACTATAGCAGTAACTTGGTCAAGAAACATGCCCAACATTCCTAAGCAAGAATCTATCATGATATTTTCACCTGAAAACAATTCTTTGAGTCTCTGAAGGTTACGGCATGGAAGCCAAATTCATCTCAGATGAACTGACAGACTCGCCAATATAGTATTCCCCCAAAGTTTCAGGTCGAGGGAATAAAAAGAGAAGCAATGTAGTTCTGCTGACAATGAGGGGGTCAATGGAATTAATTTAAATCTGCTTTGACTGACAGATGTTAGCCATTAGAGTAAATCTAGAATTATTCAGCAGGGTTTGAGAATAAGAACAAATTGAGCAAAAATGGGCATTTGTTCTTATACATGACATCAACTTGATGTACGTAGTAGTGTGCGGAAATAGTTTAGTACAGTAATATCATAGAGGAAAATCACATTTAACACACATTGTACATTTGACCAACTCATGTATTTATTTTCTTAGGCATAGGACTTAATGGTACAGTATTTCAATTACAGTATATATGTTTTAGTGAAGTAGCTGTAATGAGTATGAGTAGTAAGATAGTATTTCATGATACTGTTATGTAAGGCTTATATGTGTACTGTACAGTATGTAATGTTATGTCCCTTGGTGTAGGGGTTTGTTAGGGTTTGTTGTTGGATTTAAACACTAAAATAGGAGCCTCAGTTGTTTTGATACTGTATAAGAAATTGGAGATGAAATACAACATGTGCAGTAATAACATAATCTTTGTATAGCATGCACAGGGTAGTACTGTAGTGAGTTTACTGAGTACAGTACCAGTAATATCTCCTATTTGATTAATAAGTACTGTATCAAATTATATGACCTGTATTTCACACTAAGTATTGTATAACTTCATTCTTGGGTTGTACTACCGGTATGTTTGTCTTTTAGGGATGAACTATCTCAGATGAAACATTTGCACAGTATTGTAAATGCTTTCACATTGCAAAGCATTATCACCATTACATGTACTCAAAACTATCATAGCTGAGTATTTTGTCATATTGTTGAAAACGGAAATTAGTTTTGATTGATATAAATACCTGTATACTCAATGCAGACATCCTGACTTTAAGATGTTAATTTTTGCCAAGAAAGAAAAAAAATCATAATATGTTCACTTTAAACCTGGATAAAGATTGAAGGGACCTTATTGACTTGCAGGGAATGTTGTGGAAGTGCCCTCAATAGCCCTGGCGTCCCCCACACCTTCCCCTGAACCCTTTCCACGTAACCCACCAGTTGAGCCCACAACACCAGTAACTCTTTCCTCTAACCCTCCTCTAACCTTCCCAAACCTTACACCCATTAACCTAATCACCCACAGTGATGCCCAGTCATCACGTGATAGTGCTTCATCTGACTCTGCCATGACACTGTCACTCTCTAGTAGTGTGATTGCCAAGGATACTAATTCTTTAGCTAGTTTAGAGTCTTTCTCTCCTGAGCCAGCACCACTAACCAAGGAAGATTTCCAAGAACCTGTTACTATACAGGACCCTCCCTCACCTGAACCATCGCCCATTCAGAAGGAAATTTTCCCAGAAACTTTTATTGTAGAAGATCCTCCTGTTCCTGTTAAGCCTCTGCGATATTCCAGATCCAATAGTGCCAGTGAGACTTCTGTGCCATCACCTGCTTCTACAGTGTCTGACCAGTCACTGTTGGTTCCCTCTCCTAAGAGTCGTTCACTTAGTACTTCAGCAGCTCCAAAAATCTTTGATCGGACAGTCTTTTCTTCCTCTCCCATCAAGGAGTCTAACACTAAAAGAGGGTTTGCTTTAGAAGCTTTGGCTTCTGCTTCTACTAAGGTATCTCTAATGGAGACTGATTCTGTCATCCAAACTCCTGGCACTCCTACATCTAAAAAGAACACTGAACTAACCCTTCCTGCATCTAAAACCCCTAGTAGTTACAATGGAATAGATGTGTCTACTCCGCCTACCCCAACTACTCCTAGTGCTTCTACGTATAGCTTTGGATCTGGCTCTGCCATGTCATCTGCCCCTACTACTCCTAAGGATGGTAGCTCAGGCCCTTCCCCCGCCCTAACTTCCCGTTCTTCTCGGGGGACCCCCGGGCTGGCTGAGCGGCCAACTGCCGCTGTTGTACGTTCTGGCTCCCTCCATGAGAAGCCCACCACCCAGCCTGTCATTGATGAATGGGAAAGAAAACTGTATGGCAGAAATGCTAGTGAGTAGCATTGACTACTTAATTTTTGGCTTTGGTAGTTATTACAACTTTTCAGGTGTTACAATATTTACAAAATCCCCAATTTGTAAATGTGACAGCTATATGTCTGCAAAGTTGATATAATCTGGGATAAAAGGTAAATACAAGTTATGGAGTCAGTATATAGCTTCTCCATTAGAATTGTGAACTAAGCCTGCTTTATTTCTAAGTGCATTTTAAGCATTGTTTATTATTTTTACTTGTAGTGCATGAAATATATTTTTGGTGGTCATTTTTTTTCTTTTATAAATTTTTACATGTATATAACTCAAAAAGAACATTTCATTAAATTAAGGGAAAATAAGTATGTTTACATATACTGACATATACTGTACAGGTATATATGTTTACATGGGGATGCTCAATTTTGCACACACTCATGTGTATATGTACACATTTAAGTGTATGGTTGCACATATATGAAAGGATGCACATGTGCATACAGTACTTACACATTCCAACACATATACTACTTGTGCACATAAACTTAGAAGACTTTGCTTTCCGTTACATGTTATTTGTACAGTATCTGCTTCATCTTTACATGTATTTTTTTCACCAAAACTCTCGCATCTTGTTCAAATGAAAACAAAATGCTAATTAATTATTTATTGGTGCTAAAAATAAAATTGCATGAGTTCTATGGCTTTATTAAAGATATGTTTCTTATCTATTGGGATTTATTTCATATGCAGTACAGTACTGTATACTGTGTGTGCATGTGTCTTTGTCATGTGTCTATGTCTTTATAGTGTGTGTATGTGTCTTTATGGTGTGTGTACATCTTTATAGTGTTTGTATGTGTGTCTGTCGTGTGTCTATGCTTTTATAGTGTGTGTAAGTGTCTTTATGGTGTGTGTGTGAGTGGTGTTTATGACAGAGGGTGTAATGCCTCTCTAGCTCAGACCTTCTACTCTTTGAATCTCCTGTGGTTTGGAGTGGAGAAAATATAATTTAATATTTTAAGTGGTATACACCTTGGACGTTATCAGATCATAATACTGTATTGTAATAAGAAGAATTTAATGAAAAAAATGGATTGGCATTATAAGATCACAACTAAAAATAAGACTAAAAATTAATATGAATAAGAATGGTCCAGGTGATGACAGATACTCTAATGAAACCTTGTTGATAACTGAGCAATTGATGAAATCACTACAGCTGCAAGGTTAGCTGTCTACAATGGCCAGGCCTAGAACTTGCTACTGAACTCCCATGCAGAGATAATACTTAGCATGTGATATTTCTCATACCTACTCTGTGATGTTTATACAGTAGTATGACTGTTATTATCTTTATAAGGTGTGTGGTTTATATAACTTGTGCAGCCCTATTTTTCATATTTCAACTTACATTGAAGATTTTCTAAAATGATGTAAAGTTTCAAGTTTCATTTGAATAAGTTAGGGGTTCTGGGGGCTTCACCTCTCATCTTTGGAATTCGCTAAACCTCTGTCTGGGTGTTACAGTAAATAGTTGGAGCTAGAGAGCTGCTGTTCTGTGTATGTGAGATATATAATGAGTGAGAGAGAATGAGGGAGAGATTGTCCTTTTTACAATTAACTGAACAATAAAATAATCCTTAACCTATGTTACTTTGTGAATACAAAGGAATGGCTTCTTCTATTTTTTTTGCATTCTTTGTATACACTTTGGAGATGGCAATGCATGATTCTGTTTGTGCATAATGTTGGTACAGTGAAACTATTTTGAATTTTTCTTCTGGGGCTTATTCTTCTGTAATCTGTGGGTAGGTACAGTATTTTAATATTCCTCTCTATATCTCATGCATGAGAAAGGAAAGCTTTTGCATCAACCTCATAGGCTCTCTGTTACTTGAAGTAATAATTGTTACAATTATTTTGGATTGCATTTCAGACACCAGGATGATGAGACAAGGTAAAGTGGTAAAGTTTTGGCCACAGATCATGTTGTTTCTATTTAGCTTACTATAGTACAGTACAGTACAGTACTTCTTAGCCATAGAGTATTCCCGCTTCTTAGAATTAACTCTTAATGCTCTTTATCCCTGCATGGGCTACCTTGCTTATTGTAGGACAGGATGCTTGTTTGTTAGCGACAGCGATATCAATGTCCGTAACTACTTTGCCCCATAATAAAATAGTACTCAAGCTGTTAATCTACTTTAACATACACAGTTAAGCTTGGTTGATGTAATAGTGAGCAATAGTGTGTTGGAGAGATAGTTGGGTTGCAGGCTGGTAAACTGATCTAGATAAGGGGATGTAAAGTATATTACAGTTTGTTTCATAAAAGTGACTGATAAACTCATAGACAGATATTTAGATTACTAGTATGAATGAGGACTTGATAGATAGGCACAATAATTACATACAGTAGTGAATGTAGATGGATACTGTATTAGACAAACAGATACTGGGTATGTCACAAAACCTAACAGATAGAAATTGATGGATAGATGGTAAAGATAATAGGCATGTCAGTTGATTGATGGATGATATTGCATGGAACACTACTAATTAAAAAGGCTTATTATGGAAAATATGTACAGTACACTAATCGGGAAAAAGACACATTTAAATTTACAGTCTGGAGTTTTGTACCACATTGGTTTTGACTTCTTTGAGATTTCATAAGATACAGTTTTGCTCCATTTGTCTATTCTACGTCTTGGTGTCTTTAACGTGCTTTCTTCCTGCGACACAGATATCATTACAGAACTTCCTGATGTCTGCGAGATTATTTTTTTTTTCCATCAAAACAAACCTCAAAAGTGCACTTACAGTTACTTTATCATTCTTCTTTGTTCTTTATCTGTCTCCTTCTCTCATATATATATATATATATATATATATATATATATATATATATATATATATATATATATATATATATATATATTTCATATATATATTCTATTCCGCCAGGATTCAAGGCGCCTCGGTCACAGTCGGGTGGGTTCGAATCCGGGTTGAGGTGTTGATATATATATGTATATATATATATATATATATATATATATATATATATATATATATATATATATATATATATAATTATTCTCACCTCATATCTATTCCATTCAGGTGTGATGTATCTGGAAGCTTTGATTTCTGTCTTGCTTCACTCTGTATTTTTTTTTTTTTTTTTTTAGTCCATGATCTTCCCCACACAAAAGAGGGATAGAAGTGGAAGTAATGGATAGATGAATAGAAGCATTTTGGAAATCATAATTCCCAATACAGTATAGCATTAAGCATGACTTGAGCATTTATAGATATGGTTTTAATTCTTCTAATATTGAAGAATGGTGCATCTCTTCCACCCCATATACGTAGTTGGGTCTGGAATATAATTGGTCATCCCACACTGTACATAGATATACCGTATTTGAAATCCACAACTTCTGTTCAGAACTGAGATTTAAAAAGGTTCTAGTTTTCATCAATTATCAGACATTTTTCTAAATCCTGCTGTCTCCATCACTGCTTTACACATTGCCATATTGATTACAATAAGTTGTTCTTTTTCCACTTTTACTAAAAGACACCCTGTTTATTATTTAAATATGGATGGATCAGACTTTTAGTCAGAATACAACACACTGTATTTTCCCTTGTGTTTTTCCAGAAAAAGGTTTATAGGTACCCTTAAGAACATTGTTGTTTGTCTCACATATTCATGCAATGATTAAATGGTAATGTATTGCAGTCGTCGGAAGTATGGAAAATGTGAATCGGAGTGACAGCCGCTCTTCGCTCAGCACTTCCTTGTCCAGCAGCACTCAGGACGTCACCCGCTTAGATGAACATGGATCAAGGTAATTGAAAGAACTTCTTTTCTATTGCATTACTTTATTTCATTTTAGTGTTAGGTGGGATAAATAGGGAAGTACTGTAATTGCTTTGAGAAATAATCAATTTCAGTACAGTAATTTAAAAGAGCTGATGGGGTTCGATACCTGTAACTACAGTTGATTGATCCCATCTTTACTACAAACTAACACTGTGACACTTAACAAAACATGCCTACCAGTGGGCTAACACCATATTTTCTGTTTATGGTAAAGCATGGGTTAATACTCTATAATAGTTCGTGAAGAATGTACTCATTAGAGGACATTTGTTAACATTAAATAGCAAGTTAGTAGTAAAAGAAGATATGGTTTGACCAGAACTGTAAAATTAGAAGTATACTGTATCCCTTACATTGCATTAATTTATGTACGAGTTTAAACTCATTCCTTTAATTGATGATCACTTGATACTGTATAATATGATCCCATGTTGTATCTGTACCTTGTTCTGTGTGAAGCCTTATGATGGACACTATATCTTGTTATCTGTGAAGTCTTATGATAACACTGTAGTACAGTACTGTATATCATGAATATTTTTATGAAGAATTGAATCGGTTATGTATGCTTGTTTAAGAATATACCAAATAGTATTAAGATCACACAGCAGAAAATGTACTTTGTTTTGTATTTACTGTACCTCAGGCATAGGCCGCATTACGATTTAGATATTTTTCTGCGGGCCTACCAACCAAAATTTATATCCTGCCTAATCCAAAAGTATTGTTAATATTGTATTAGCACGAACACATCAAACGGTGAAGAAATTTATCGTCACGTCCACCTTAAGATATTTTCAGTTTACAATCAGTCTTTTTTCCCATTTATGAATCAAATCCATCATGATAATTTTTAAAATAATATGTTAATGTTTCTTGGAATTTAACAAAAGATGAGTAAAGCCGTCTTTGAATATGCTGATTTTTCCTACAGTTACGGCATTTTTCTTACAAGACACCCACCAGAATAATGCTTATGTTAATCTTGGCATATGAGTAACTACAATGAAACAACCTATAGGCACATTCTCTCTCTCTCTCTCTCACACATATATTGTGTATACAGTAATACCCCGCTTTATGCGGTTTCACTTTCCGCTATTTCGCATTTACGCGGTACCTCGCCAGAACCGGACTTTCACTTTACGCGGTGCATCTACTCATATACGCGGGAAGCGGCGCGGGCAGGCTGCGCACAAGGTCGCCCAGTCATCAAAACATTACCGAGTTCTTCACCCGGCACCCACCACAGCCGGCCCAAGTCAGTGATAGTGAGGATATGGACTTTGAGGGGTTTGACAAAGAGGCCCTGCAAGCCTATGTGGTGGATAGTGATACAAGTGATACAGGTGAGGGCCAATAATCTGCCCTCTGCCTCGGAACCAACCCCCCATCCCTGTGTGCCCAGCCATCTTTTCTACTAAAGTAAGTGTTAAAAAACTAATATTATTGATATTTCTCTTAATTATTAATTGTGTGCATACCATTATAAAATTAAGATGTAATTTTTACTACAACGTAGGTATTGTGTCTGAAAAAGTGGAGTTTGGGGGTCGGGCCAGTCTCTATTGGAATTAATCCCATATGTTCTGTTGTTCACTTTACGCGGTTTTTCACTTTCCGCGGTACCCCATGGGTTCGATTCACCACGTAAATCGGGGTACTGCTGTATATATATATACGTATATATATATTGGTGGTGGTTTGTACCCAAACTTAGATTTCATTTAAAATCTCGGTATAGGTACTCCTGAGAATGCTAATTCTGAATCTATGGTCCACAATTCGATTGCAGGGTAATTAGTGGCTGTAAGGATGCTTGAAAGATTTTAATTACATTTTTCAATCCTAATTACTTGCCAACTACGGGTTTCCAAGGCTGCGGTATTGGTGTTTTTGTGTTATTCTGGAAGTACTTAATTAGTTAAACTCTGTGTGACCACCACCCGTGACCCCACTTAGACTTACCCAACTTTAGTTTACAGTGGTCCCTCGGTTAACGAGATTTCGGTTAACGATTTACCTTCCATAAGATTCTTAACTTCGGTTAACGAGCAATCCGTCGATTAACGAGTTTTTTATGAGCCGACTTCAACATGTTTTCGCTTGCATTTGGCGGTCCACCAGCTGTAGTATTAGTCCGCCAATACAGTAATCAGTTTTAGGGCTTAAATTCCTTACTATTTTAGTAAATATCAAGAAGTTTATACTATTCAATAATTTTAAAAGTTTAATATTAACTTTTTTAGTTATTTTAACAATTATTGAACATAATTGAAGGTACAGAAACTAGTTTCTGGTGTGCCATCCAGCCTGTTAACACACCAGACAGGCGTTAGTCTCTCTCTGTTTTCAGTGGAGGTAACATCTTGCTTGAGACTCTCTTCAACTAAACGCTTTTTTTCTGTGTTTCCAAGCAAATTATTGGTCATTTTGAAATTTATTTTACATATTGACAATATATAATGCAGTGCAGTGTTGATTTAAAGTAAATAATCTTGAAATACACCAAGAGAACTAATATTTTATGGGTGAAATGGTGCCATGGGGTGACTTCTCTTCCACCCCAATGCCTTCTCTTCTTCCTTCTCCTCCACCCCCATTCTAATTCCCATCATCATCATCATCCAGGAGCCTTTTACATACACACCTCAAAGTAAGTGTACTTTTCTACCTTTTTTGTTGAATTTAGGCAATTTTTGGTGAGCTGGAACCAATTACCCAAAACCCCATTGAAACAATGGTTTCGGTTAACGAGTTTTTCTGTTAACGAGCAACCTGCTGGAACGGATTGTGCTCGTTAACCGAGGGACCACTGTATTCCCAAGTGACCCACTGCCACATAGCAGCTAATCCATCAAACAGACTGCACTGAACTTGGCCCATAAATATCACACAAGTTAAAAAGTTTATGGTTTTGACGATACAGTTTACTGTATATACTTATTTCACTGCTACATTTTTGAAGTTACTTATTCTTAGGTGATGAAACAGTATCAAATTGTGTGTGAAGATTATTCTTTTAATAACTATTGCTTTGCTCACCATAAACTGGCTGCATCTACCTGAACTGCAGACCACATAAAATAGAATTTCTCAATCACTCCACAGGCCGCACAAACACATGGTCCGGGCCGCAGGTATCCCATGCCTGCTGTACTGTATACCATTTCACATTCCTTTATAGTGTACCTTACTGATATACTGTACAGTACCATCAAGAGTAGTTAAAATGGGTAAACTAGATAATTTTGCAATAAAGTTTTCCAGCATTAATAGTCTGTAAATGTACATTTTACAAGTTGATGAACATCACATGTTGCAGGTTCCCAGAAATTAAGGCTATACGGTTGGAAAAAAAGTCTCGAGAAGAGGGAGACGACGGAGAAGGCAAGAAACGAAGAGGCAAAGGAGGGGGACTAAAGGCTAAATTATTTGGAAGTAAGCTCAGTTGTTTTACCGTTATAATGTCTTAAGGCGGTGATCCATAATATCAACACTCTTTGGTCCGTTAAGACATTATGTATTCTTCACTTATACTGTGCTGTACCAGTAGATATTTCTCATTGTGTACAAAATATTTCTTATAGGTAGCCGTGAACGTATTGGTGAGGAAGATGGGAGAATTGTGGAGGGTGGTAATGATCGTTTGCCACACCCTCCCACACACCAGTCAAGACTTCCTCGGGAAATACATGATAAATTTGCTGGAAAGTCTCGAGAGGTAAGTTTAAAACTTTGTTGTTTCTTGTCGATTGTAATATTAGAAGACGATATTTTCTATTTGTAATGCAGTAGATATACACCTGTAACTGTTTCTTTGGCTACTCTCAGGTTACACTAATTTTTGTCTCCTTAATATTTGAGAACAGTGCCTGAAGAGTACAGTACTGACTTCTGTCTCCTATACATCCCATTTACACTATTATTTGCCCTATTTTACCTTTGTTAGGGGATTATTCTTTGTTGATCTGGGTCTCTTCAGTACCTGCTCATTTGTTTTTACCTCACTGCTGAAGGGATTTGCAAGGTATTAGAATGACCCTGTTTTTATTTGTCTTTCTTCACTATTCCCAATAGTGTTATGAAACAAATCTCTGCCATATTTTCACCAAATCTGACTCAAAGTCTTGGCTTAACAGTGTTGGGTATACAGCAACGACAGAACTTCTTGGTAATTAAGAGATGAAAAAGGATGGGACTTTTTGCATTATATTTTTTGACAAAAGGCACGTCAAAACTGTCATGTACTATGCCTTTCTTAATGATGTTTCTTGAGAAAATGAAGTCGGAGATGATTTTTTTACAAAAATGACATAGATTTCAAAAAACTTGTGTTACAAATGAAATCTGCTGAAGATTAACTGGAGACCCCATGGGGTGCCACATATGAGATTTGACCTTGATAGGTCAAAGATCAAGGTCACAATGCCAAAATAATTAGCAATTTTTTTTAATCATCAAATCTGATAAACTTTTATTTAAAACCTTTTTTTAATTTGGTTTTGAGACCTTTTGTAGGGGAGCCTTCATCATTTCATAAAAAAAAACACGAGCATGCGGTGAAATTATGCCCCCAGTCACAATAGTACGACTGGGACTAGGTATGCCATCTCTGATTGCCATTTTATATTTTATTTTGTAAATATACCTGTATAAAGTAACTTTCTGTATATAACTTATACTCATATAACTAATATCTACAGGATTTAATGGAGATGATAGTGAACCTGCAGTCGTGCATGGAGAAAAATGTACGCCATACACGAGACCTAGAGGACTACATTGATGGTCTCCTCCTACGAGTGATGGAAACCACGCCTCAGCTACTACAAGCCCCTGTTACTAAAAACAAGAAAATTAAGTATGTATAATGGAATGGATCCAACACATCCACATTAATAACCTAAAACTTTTTCACATAAACATAACATTGCTTCTAAATGTGGTTATATCGCATTTTTTCCTGGTTGGAACTACCTAGTCAAGTTTTCAGCATGCAAGACAGTGAATGAATTCTTGAGTGAAGTCAGTTGAATTGGACTGGCTAATGAAATTCCTCTCTCAACTTTTCACTTTACAATCATTTCAGGGTTTTTTTAGTTGAAAATGCAAGATTTTGTTTAAGTTTGCATCAATCCTCTTTCCTGTTGCAGTGGGTCTCTATTGTGGATTCTTAAGTTGTTGATAATAATCTAATTACCCTCAAGTTACTATACAGGTATAAAGAAAAACAGACTATGAACTTATTAGTTTTATGACCCACACTCATTTGAGCCATCTCATATCATTTATACAACTAATCTGTTCTTTTAATCCTTAGTTTATCTATATAACTGAATAAAAAAAGAGGAAATTTTTCACATAATTTTTCCCCTAAATGGTAAATAAAAAAATTTATTTAATGAAAAATCTATGTATGTATTTTGGATGGCCAGTCCACAGGTGAAATTTGTACCAGACAGCCAGCTAGTGAAGGGGTTAATACTTTACTGTATATCATTTATAATTCATGTATGATTAAATGCATCTTATTTTTCATGGTGCAAGATGTTTTTGCATTTCATGACCAGATTTAATTTACACGTTAACATAATTCTAGGCTTTTGTTTTAAAGCACAAGATGATGATGTTTATTCTTTTTATTGCAGAGTACAGATATTTGGTCTTCACTGAAGAGACTGAACAACTACATAGATGAATGAGAAACAACTCCAGCATTTATTTTTTATTTTTTTCAAGAGAATACTGGTTGTCCGTCAATCACATCACTGGTTCATGGACTCCTTGACTAGTTTTCACAACGTGTGGGAATTGGTAAGTTGGACAGTAACAACACAATGACATGGAGTAGTTCAGTTCTTTTCACCATAGAATGTTACTGATTATGAAAGTGTTACTTTACTATTATGTATATACACAAGTTATGTGTATTAACCACCTTCATTGGTTGGTGAAGATCACAAAGAGAAGATGTGTATTTAATAATTCGTAACACACACATACCAGGTATGTGTGTGTACACATACCACATAAACAGTACAGGTATATATATAGAGTTTAAAGAATTAAACTACCAGTATTTAGTAAAGTGTCACAGAAGTTTGAAAATATAGAAAATCTGTACTTTATAATAAAACACTTGAATAATGTTTTAGAGAGGAGACTGCTTTTGTAAATATATAATGTGGCCAGAAACAGGTACCGGGTATATGTGTGACAATACCGATGTACACATTGCCACTACACACACACACATGTGTATTTTATTGTTTAATTGTGAAGGACTCTGGATTTAGGATGTTTATTTAAAACTTGTTTAAGCCACATTTTTTTTATGCAATAATTTCAACATGACAGGGAAAGACAGTTTACTGTATATAAGGATGTAAATACCAAATAATGAGTAATTATATATTGTATTGGAGCCATTAATGCATCGTTGCATCTAATAAGAATATTCTATGCTCCAACTAGCAGCCTCATGTTTACATCTCCGTTTGAATCTGTTGAGTGTGTCAGCCTGCCGCCTGCAAGATGAATATAGCATTTCCTTGTATTAATTAGTTTTACATGACAAGAGAAACACATAAATATGATTCACATAAGTTTTTTTAATATATATATATATATATATATATATATATATATATATATATATATATATATATATATATATATATATATATATATATATATATATATATATATATATATATATAGAAAAGTTTGTCAGTTAGGGTCTTGTTTCTTGTGTTTGTGAAAGTTTTTAAAATGTGTAATACTGTAGTGATAAGTTGAATTTATGTATAATGCCAAATCATATGTATGTGGATTAAGTATAATTATTAGATTATTAAGGAAGAGGATAATATATTCTTAGTTTTTAAGGGTTGCTTACACAAACTCCTGTCATTAATAACAATATGATCAGATGTTTGTACATGGTATAGACCAGACGAAAGAAAAATTAAGTTTGAAAGAATCCAAAAGGTTTGATTTAGTCCAAGTATCGGTGAGCATCTAGCACGTGTGTGAGGGAGGGAGCTCACAATACTGTAGTATGTCTAGTGTTGCTGATCAAGGACAATTATCTAGGTATAGAGTTTCAATTGGTTTGAGACAGAATTACTGACACCGTCTTACGATGTTTCTTGAGCCACCTTGTGTAAAATAGGAATTGCTAAGATGCTTGAAATGCTTAGCCACATCACTAATCAAATCCAGTTTGAGAAATATCATGTGAGGTCACTCCCTTTACCTCCATGTTGAGTATTGTGTGCCAGGCAGAACTGGTAAATAAATAATATATTAATATAGAATATTGCTGTGCCTGTTAGAGCCAGTCAGTCCAAGTCCTTTTGTATCCAGGAAGATGATAGTTTACATGGTGGAAAATGATGGGGTTAGATGATTATTTATTGTACCAGAAGTAACAATACACTATGCTGTATGTAAATGACCTTCTAGTCTTTCTCAAGGTCAGTCATCAGTATTCCTTCATGTTCAGAACTGCCTAACTTGATCTATAGATGTGGGAAGAAGTATAATTTGAATCACTCTACACATAGCAAGCTAATACGTTGAAGACAAGGAGGCAAATCACCACTCCTCTAAATATTGATTTTTCAAATGACCTTACATAGTCTAACAGTCACTTCCATTACAATATGCTGGTAATCTTTTATGTAACAGCTAATGGGTGCTTACGTTAAACACTTGGTTTTATTATACTAACTGGTGACTGAAGAAGTCTCTTGTGTTCCCAGTTTTTAGCAGTAATGAAAGAGTTTTTAGTAGCTTTTAATTCATCCAAATTGTGAAAGGAACAAGCTGTGTTACATCTTCAGGTCACATCTTTTTTAACATTGCATATGGCATGTCTTGTTTTGTTTTTTAATTGCTTGACACTCGGGTGTTTTTATGGTTCGGTCAATCAATCAGAGTACCGTCCTCATATCTGGTAATGATAATTTTGTGATAAAAAGTATTACCAAAGAACATGGTCAACTGCATAAAATTTAGGGGTTTCAAGATGTTCTTGCCAGATGATGTTCACAATATATTCATGTAGGTACCAGGAAGTTTTTACTGTAGAGTATGGTACCTTCTGCAAGCTTGTACATGATGTCAATCCTGAAAGAAAGTGAAGAACTTCCCCAACACATTCTTTACCAGAGGAATGAAGTGCCTCTTATCTCATTAGATGCCAAAAGTTTATATTTTCATCCTCACACTGATATAAACACAATGTCATCATTCATGCTCATGCCTTCCTCTTCTAGACATTCTCTGTGGGCTAAGGATGTACTTGTCACTTTTTTTTATTGGCTCCTTGGTTGTCTTTAATAGTTGTGATAATCTTGTACTGAAGTAATTTATTTACTCTAACACTGTTCAGGCAATTGTATGTTGAAAGGAGATATTTCAGATGTATGAATATTGGTAATATGTTAATAGACATAAACGAGTTGTGTAACAAACTCTTGATTACTGAGAAATTAGTTGTTCACAATCTGTGGATTGCAAGAGGACTTGCTTTGTTTACACCAATGCAAAAAAATTATCCTTGTATCATACTTTAAAATCTTTATTGCAACTGCAATGCCAACCTACTCATTGGAAAGGAATCCATGTTACCCTTTATCACCTTGGTTCTAAACATAGCTAAATTATGTATGATATAATCTTAAAATTTACTTTTGTGATAGTTTTGGAGGTCTTGAGTCAGTTTCTTTGATTAAAGCTAGAAGGCATTTTGGCATGAAGTTGGTTGTTGTTATTTGGCACTAACAGTATTAGAAATACTGATGGAACTTAACTCCTCTGCCCTCTCATCACACCATGAGGTGACACAGGCTACAGTTAAGCTGTATTCACTTATGTGAAAGATGTGTAGTTGCCAAACTACATTACTACTACTTGTTTGAGGTAAGCAGAAAAGATGTTATTTATGAATTTTCTCTACTACATTGTGATACAATTGAAAGTTTTTAGTGGTATATAGTATTTGTTAATGTCAACAAAGGATTAGTATTTTGGTTTTATATACAACAGTATATGTATACTTTGTATAAAACATAAAGCATTATCTGCTATTGCATTTTCACAAGGTTGAAACTAATAATGTTGTAATTTTATTGAGTGCAGCATATTTTCACTAACATTCCAGCTTGTGTTTGTAACTTGTACAGTATATGGCATAACCATGTTCTAATTTAGATATTTTTGTTCCAAAGCAATAGTTTATGCTTACAGTTCATAAACATTATTAATTGTAAGTTTTGGTGATTCCCGGCGATGTGATCTGGTTGTGATTTAATAGAAAAATATACCTCAGATGCATGACACCACTGTGGAAGGGTTTGTATAGGCTCAATATAACAAGAATGAGTATTTGTCCTGGCTATGATTGCTGGTTACTAGAAAATGAGGAATCTGTTGTTGATTATATTCCTCTGACAAAGAACGAGTACAATACTAGAGTGTATGGAAACCATGGATGTTAACAGCTCTTTTTATTTTTGTTTCATTGTTTTAGTTTACATTGTATAAATCTGGATTATTTATCATTTTGGTAGATCTTGGTCATTTTAGGCATGGTTTACTTTTTGGTGAATTAATTTGACTTGTAGTGTGGAAAATGTGAGCATACAATAATGTGCAATCATTTATGTAACAAAGGGAATACAGTAATATGTACAGTATCTTCATTATGATCTCTGCTTTTAGCTATTCTGTGAATCATAACTATAGGATTCTTTGAGTAATGATATAAAATTAAGTATATTAACATTAGTTCTTACATCAGAAAGAAATGGTGTCAGAGAAGGAAGTTGCAGTTTCATGAAATTTGTGGTTATTTATTTATTTATGTTTGAATGCATGACGTACAGTACATTTCCACATTTAGGTGTACCACTTTTTTTTTCATTTATGTCTGTTTATATTGTACATAAGACAGTGTTCTTGGGCATATTCCATTTAAATTTCTAACAAAATGAGATGTAATTAGTATTTAGAGACAGTTTCTTTCCTCATCTCTGATATGTAGTCTATAGTAACTACAAGTTGAATCTTCCCCTACCATTTTAGCCAGTGACTATTGCATAACCATCCTAGTATTAAAAGCAATTAAACAATTCCTGAAATATTTCCTTAAAAAGGGTACATGTTGACTTGGGTATTATCTAAGTCCAACAGTGAGCACTTGCTAACATTCTGGAAAAAAATGATGTGCAGAAAGGAGCCATGATGCTTCAGTAAGCATAATGGAATGGGAAATTAAAAAGGGGATCAAAGGTAAGGTTAACCAGGGAGATAAGAATGTGTAGACTGAGAATCATGGATGGGTTATGTGGAGGTACCCAGTATAAGAAAAGTGTAAGAGCACATGATTGTAGTTGAGTGTGAATGCTGCTAAAGAAAAACAATACAAGAAGAAGGATAACTTCTTTACTTTAATATGGTAACGCCTTCTCTGTTGACGCTTTAACTCTCTGTTACTTTTTTCTGGTTAATTCAGAATTGCAAGTGGCATGTGCATGCGCACACACAAAATTTTTTCTTCTTTCAATGCTGTACATTCATTCTTTCTACCGATTAGTTGAATTCTGCTATGGTACTCCTTTCCCACTTCAAGGTCCCAAATATGCACCTATGAGAAACATGTGTTTCCTTCTTCAGGAATCACATTAAACCATGTTCTCAGTTCATTTGCACATCCCCCTTACTTCTACTATTAACTTTACCCAATCTTTCCATCTCCTTGGTCCTCCTATCTTCCATCTCTGAATTATACCCACCTTACCAGTCTTCCACTTCCCATTCTCTCAGTATTTATCTTGCCTATCACTAGCCAGCTTGTTGTTTGGTACAGCTGTCATTTATAATTTCAACATTAATTCTCTGGATAACAATTCCCCAGTACGAATATTAATAAAACTTAATTCCAGCTGGCTACCAAATACAGTAGTTTTTCATGTGGGATGCTGTGTTGAGCAGAAGTGTTTTGCATTTACATACATTGTGATAAAAAATTCATTCTTGGGGTAAGTAAAGTTAACAGGGGTCTGTGTGTTGTGGTATGCATTGAACTGGTTCTTCTGTTAGTCATGACCGCAAACTAATCCTTTCTTGTGTGGGATAATTGCTGATGACAATAATAAGACTAAAACACATCTAAACAGTTGCACTGAAACTAGAGGCATGTATATTTTCCCAAGTATGTAGTGAAGTATGTCTTAAACCATATAGATAATCATTGAGGCCCTCTTTTATAACATTGCAGCAATAAGTTTTTAAATATACAAGTCACTATAATTTTTTATGGTTGACATCAAGTAGTAGGACAAGTATCCAGTAACAATGTCTATTATCATGAAAGTAGTCAGGTTTTAGCTGCAGTGATGTGATGCACACACATCTGTTGTGCTACAATATATACTGTACTTATATTTATATACAGAATCTCTATTTATGTTCTAAAAATAAGTGTACAGTACATGTACAGTCGACCAAAAAACTATCCTTACAAAATTGTGTTAGACAATATTACAATGGACGAAGGATTTTTGCAACCCTACCGACATAACAGGAAACAGGAGTCGCAGTGTTCATTCTGAAATTCATTGAGCACCCCCTCCCCCCCGTGCAGATAGTTTTTTTATCGAATGTTCATGTTAAATATAATCGGAAATGCATACAGTACTTTTAAATGATGAAATATTTGGATGTAAAATGTAACTTTAAAAAAATGCTATTAACTTTATGGTGTTATTATGTGTTGTTTAATATCTAACAAAAACATATGGCCTTTGTGCCGTAGCTCTAATGTGGTAACTTGCAATTGGCTCAAATATTAATAAGTTCTTCATATGCTGTGCGTATTTTTAAAGAATTATTTTATTTTTTTAATGAAAATGGAATTTTTATCAAAGAAAATGGGGATGATTATTGAAGGAAATGGGAAATTTTTGTCTTGGAAAATCCAAAATTGTATCAAAGAAAATGGGATATATATATATATATATATATATATATATATATATATATATATATATATATATATATATATATATATATATATATATATTAAACCAAATTTTTATAAAAAAATGGGATATATATATATATATATATATATATATATATATATATATATATTTTCTCAAAGGAACGGGGTTGTTTTATCATAGAAAAAGGAAATTTTTTATCAAAGAAAATGGGTCAGTCTGTGATGAATACACACGTCCTGTACACAATAAACCCTGGATACATGGCAGTTTCTCGCTAACTACAGTAAGATTTCGTTTAAAGTTATTACATATTTTCATTATTCTTCCTCTGATATTCCCAAATAGTAATTCAAAATTTTCTACTAAACACTGCGGGCTCCATAATGTAGTTCCACAGGTGCCATGCACTACAGGTTGGGGACCACTGGTAAACATATCCCAAAGTTTTCATTGAAATTCCGAGGCAAATATTTTACATACTGATAATAAAAAGTGAAAAAATTTTATCTTGATTCTTGGAGCCGGCCACACCAAATCCAGTGTATTTTAAAGTTGAAGCAGCTGAAAAATGGAATTTGAATCGTTTATATTTATCTTATTATATCTAACAAGAGTACTTTAAGTATTTCCTAATCTTAAGATAAACTGCAAAATATTTTTTAAAGGGGGGTGGGTAAATGTCACCATGATCAGTACTGTTAGTGGTGCCTTTCCTTGTACAGTATCAAGTGCCTTACAGATAGCTAGAGAATATTTCTTCCTTAGCAGATGCCAAGAAATTACATTTTGTGTACAGAACAGGTACTTATTTGTTGATTGTTACCGAATTCTTTATCTAATAGAAAGGGAGGGGTGGATTAAGGATTATATATATATATCATATTTAATATAACAAGTGCTACTATATAAGATTATAAATATGTGATAAGTTAGTACTGTTTAAAAGGAGAGATGTGTCTTGGTGAAACTGCTATAACTAGATCTTTCAACCAAATAAAATGTAAATTTTGATTTATTGTTTTATTAACCACCACTTAAGTAGGTAATACCTATAATTATGCTGTATCTTTGCAGAAGAACAGCAAGTGCATAAAAAGTAAATGTTTATAATTTTATCTTTTGCACCTTTAAACTGCTTTAAATAGGTTCCCACTTAATGCACAGTTGATTATCCTTCAATATTCTCTCATGTTAAGGTTTTCCGAGTTTTGTGTCCTTGTCACAGTGACCAAGGTGCATCTGTAAACACTGTTTTTGACAAAGGTATGGAGAACTAAGGAACTGCACTACCTTACTCGAAAATTTCAAGATAATTCCGGTAAATTTGCATTGTCACACCATTCTCTGTTAGAAAGTCAAAAATATATTTTTCCAGTGTATTTTTGTGTGTTTAGACCGAATATGACCTTCATTTCCGGCGGAAATTAGCCGGGTTTTTTTTTTTTCGTTGGACGTTTTCCGAAAAAAATCATGGCAAAATACACCAAATAACACTAGAAAAACAAAAACAAAAACCTAACCTAACTGACTCTCACCATATGATGGAATCGCCTATTTCTTACCTTATTGGCTTAGTTCTTAATTTTCGTTGCATTCTGGGATTCTTGCCCAACGCCACATAGTATGTTGGTCTTTGCGATATTTACATTGTCTTGCTCTCAGTACACTTTATTGAGGTTGGAGAACATGCGGTCGAAAAAATGCTTTAGCTTCTACGTTTTGTTTTGTTTTTCCAAAAAACTCGCAATCAGCTCCATATACTTTAAGTGACACCCATCGCAGAATTCCATGGTCGGAACTGAACTTGAGTTTCAAAATATGAGACCCAAAATAAAATTCGAATTTGATTGGGTCAAATATACTCCGAATTAAACCCAAAATCATTTTAATTGGTTCCAAAAGCAAAAACGCTTTTGATTGGCTGCGTGAGGAGTACGGGAGCGCATGCGCGTGATGATTTATGAAGGAGACTCGCAGTGCTGGAGGTGAGGCAGGCGATAATGGAAGAAAATAGAGAAAATTTTGGATATGCTATCTCCGTTTTTATACATTTCCGCCGGTAATGTGATAGATGAAAATTATCTTATAATTAGACGTCTTATTCGAATATGATAATAGATTAGTGGTAGGAATGAACGGTGTGTAAAGGCAATAATACCATAATTCCTTACATGACTGTTAGTAGACTCCCCTAACCCCTTCACTGCGGGGACGCCACTATTAATATTTTATTTTGCTAACGCCAGACTATTTTAAGCAGCATAAAGGGGATCCCTTACACATTCGAATGCAGTGTCGGCTATTCTGACCACTTGTGTACCGAAAGGGAGTTAATTAATAGTGTGCGAGATTCCACTTTCATAGTGCGATAAAAAATTATTTATACTTCAGTCAGCATGATATGCGGCAGTAAGATGTACTTTTTACAAATACATTGATAATTATACATAATGTAATATTACCTGATCATTCACATTCATGGAACCCTTTTCTATGCGCATGGCTATTGAGAAGGTTTTTGTTTCTATAACAAGGTTTGGTTTATTAACATAACCTGAGCCGTCGTTTACGAATCCCTACATATGCTTCGCATAACAGCATAAGAACCCTTTAACCCACTTTTATAACCTTGAACGAGTACAAATCTATAGTGTATGGATGCACTTATGCAAGTTAATGTTATAAGTTAGTTTATGCCGCTTTTGCATAATTATGCGCACACTGATCTAAGGGTAGGATTCCATTCACACGCTAGCGTTAGCGCCAAAAATAGATCACACTGAAATGTACACGGTTGTTTCCATTGGCACGGTTGCGTTAGCGTTATGCGTTTGCAGTACATGCCAATCGCTCCTTGTAGCGATTGAAAACGTATAAGCACTGCAAACGTGTGAATGGAATCCTAGCTTTAAAGTGTTACATTGCACCCAAGAGAACGTCAAGAACCTGCGTATGTCAAGGCAGTTAGACCAATGTGTTTACATTTACAGACTGTACATAACAACGTTTCGGATTCACATTCTTGTATCATCGATATTAATACCTATAAATTTAAGAAATACTGTTCGACATAATGCTTTATGACCTTGAATAAGCGCTTATAGCCGAATGTGTGTGGTTTAAACTGAGTTCAGTTTATATTAAAATTCCTTATCACTGCATCTCACTCTCGTATACACTTCCTGTCGCCAGAACGTGATAGATACTCCTGTACATATTCGCCTATAGTGCAGGGTAGTAGAACCATTGATTGCATCCCACTTGGACGATCGTCATTTTATGCAATGTAACGTAACCTAACCTGATCATTTAACTTGGTAAAAATCGCATAAAATAGACGATCGCCCAAGTGGGATGACACCGAACCACCCTTGTAAAGACCGTATTGCTTTCATGAATTTCTCTTTTGCATCACTTCCTTTTTGCTTTCAACTTCCTTTTTAACCTTATATTCTTGAACTGTGTGAAGCCCAATTTCTTAAATATGACATCCTGTAAACGATATGTTGATAAACTTACTTTTTCATTATAGACATATTTTTGTGTCCTTTTGCAACATTAATCGTACACATATATTTTCAGGTCATCTTTCATACACCAGAGGCTAAGAATTGACATGACCCTATCTTTAAAACTTCTTTGTGTATGTATATAGCGTATTTGTGAGCCTAAACATGTTTCATACTATGAGCTTTTGAATGGAAACAAAACTCGGTAGTTCACTGTTGCCATGGGAGTGATTTTGAACATAGTAGTATGAATATTGAAATGCTTACCATATTTATTCTAATTCTGTAACAGTTCATGTTCTCAGAATTACACAAATCAAATATTTGTTGTGATTTTGTCTATTCTTTTAGTCATGTTACCATACGCAGGATTGCCCAAGTCGAGTTACAAGTCT